AGGGACTGGATACATATGTTGGTGGTGGTGAGAGCAAGCTCTCATTGACATTGGTTTTCAGTGCTACGATTCTCCATTGGTGTTATATTGGTGCAATGCTGCTTTCTGAACACTGTGATACGATCTGGCTTTCAATGTGATTGTGCAATCTGAATATTGTCATCTCGCTTCTGTTCATTTTCCTTGCACCACCCTATAAAAAAAAAAAAAAAAAATTGGGCGCATCGAGACAATAAAATAGAATACAGGCTCTCAAAAAAAAAAAAAAAAAGCATGCTTTCCATGCCAGACACATTCTGTCCAGTATGAGTCTAAAATTCTCCACCCTAAAAAAAAAAATTAAAAAAAAATCTACCTAACGAAATAATATCTTGCACAGGCCGGTTACAGTTCGGCCCTGTTCTGCTGCGTCATGTGCCCCGGCTGGAAAAAGGACCCAGAATAGGAATGCTGTGGTACTTCATGCTCCAGGGGCGGAAGTGACAGAAGTCGAATAGTTGTAAAATAGTTAGGGCGGCCCCGTAGGAGGTAGGTCGGTTGTAAAATACGGATAGGAGTGAGTATGATAACGGGATGGAAGGATAGGAGGGGCATAGCATAGGAAGGGTGAGGGGTGAAGGGAGTGAATTTTAGGAAAAAACAGGTTAAAAAAGTGGTGAAAAAGGACTACTTGGGCAACATGCTGGGGATATTCTCTTTAAGAAGAGGATATCATGCCAGTATCATGACAGTAAGGAGGGGAAGTGATGAGGGGATTGTATAGTTTGACAGGGGGGAAGATTAGAAAGAGGAGTAGATTTAAATTGAAAGGCGAATCTAAGCAGGTGAGAAATAGAAGGATTAGCAGGAGATGGTGGTAGTGTTTTTTTTGGACTGATCATGGGAATGCAGTAAGGGTGATACGGCCTGTGAGGCTGCTAGAACGACCCTCCCCGCACCATGTCTTTCCTAGAGTCCTTCTGCTGCGTGACTGGGTGCTGCCAGTAAGCTTCCCGGCCAGCAGAAGCCCTCTAGGAAAGCAATGGTTTGGGGGGGGGGTCGGATCGTAGCAGCCCCCCCCTTGAGAAGGTGACTCGTACCACAAGGGCTGTGGGCTGACTCTTCTTCAACACTGTTCTTCCGTTATCTTTCTTCTTTGTACTCATGCTTGCCGGTGATAAGCAACCGGACTGATGCCCCCCAGAATAGAAGGGGCCATTGCCTTTGTTTAAAAAAAAAAAAAAAAAAATCTTGCAGGTTTTGTTTTTCAAAGATGTCTGCATTTTTCCAGACCAGTAGGTTTCAGGACATTTGTTTGCAGCTGTATTAGGGCATACTCACACTATAATTTTTGTGACTGAGCGCTGGATGTGATTGCAGTCAGATGCATCCAGGTCTGGTCCTATGTTTTGCAGTCAGATACATTTAGCAAAGTGCTACCGTGCGTTTTCCCTTAGGCTGGCTGGCCCAGGCCATACATAGCGGTGGTGAGATGCACACAAGCAATCCAAGATCGACAAAGACGACCCAAGATTTTCCCTTAGGCTGGCTGGCCCAGGCCATACATACACCAGCAGGTACTCGAAGTTCAAACACGCACACGCACGCCGATTGACGCAAATATGCACCCTCCGTTCATTCAGTTCTGTTTGTTTATGCATTAACTCTGACATATGTGTTCTTGCTTAATCGACCAAGTCATCCAGACATTCCTCATGTCCTTCAAGTGCACTCTTGTCTCCGTCCACTCATTTCATTTGATTTTTTTTCCCGATAACCTTCATCTGGTCCCTGGTTAATCATTCTCCGGGGAACCCCCTTCCCTCCATCCCTCCCTCCCTCCCTCCCTCCCTCTCTCTCTTCCTCATCCACCCACCCACCTGCCCGAAATCACGTACCCAGTCACCCACCCACACATTTGCTTGACAGCTCCTTGGCTCACTGATCCACTCACACACCCACCTGGCCATTGGTTGCTCGTCCCCCCTCTCCCTCCCTCCCTCTCTCCCTCCCTCCCTCCCTCCCTCCCTCCCTCCCTCCCTCCCTCATCCATCCACCTGCCCAATCACCTACCCACGTACCCACTTCCTCAGTCACCAATCCACTCACAGTCTCACACACTCCCTTTCCTCCTTCCCTCCCTTCCCTCCTTCCCTCCTTCCCTCCTTCCCTCCCTCCCTCCCTCCCTCCCTCCCTCCCTCATCCATCCACCCACCTGCCCAATCACCTACCCACGTACCCATTCCTCGGTCACCAATCAACTCACAGTCTCACACACTCCCTTCCCTCCTTCCCTCCCTCCGTCCCTTCTTCCCTCCCTCTCTTCCTCATCCATCCACCCACCTGCCCAATCACCTACCCACTTACCCACTACCTGGCTCACAAATCCACTCACACACACACCGACCCACCCACCCACCCACCCACCCACTCGGTTGCCCCACTCATTTAGCCAGTCTGTCACTCTGTCCATCAACCAATGTGTCAGCGACCCACTCCTTCACCCACCCATTCAGATACCTGCTCCCTCGCTCACTGATCCACTCACCCACCCACCCACCCACCCCCTCGCCCACTCATTCACTCTATCCATCAGTCAGTCTGTTACTCTGGCCATTGACGCATGCATCAGTCAACCATGCCTTTTTTCTGTTTTACTGTTTCCTTTTCTTTTCTTTTCTTTTCTTTCCTTTTTTTAGTTATGCCTTTTTCATGAGGAACAGGATTTTACCAGTTGCAGATGCCTTCTCCATTCTCCATGTCAATAGCCGCTTCATTGCTGCAAGGGACCGTCTCTTTAGCATCGTGATGGCCATGGAATCGGCCAGCTGTTTTGCCGCCCTACTTTTGCAGAAATTCTTCCAGGCATCCAATGCCATCTGCATTTTGCGTCTTTTGCAATATTGGACGGCCTTCGCAACCGCCTCACGCAGACTTCTGCGCGCTTCCATGTAGTCATGCCATTCCACGAAGCAGCGAGCCTGCTTGGTGAGCTGGCAGTAACATGCGGCAGTAAGGTGCTTTTCTCTTTGCGCCTTTGCGTTGAACAGGAGAATGTCAAAGCATCTTCTGTACAGCTGTCTTGTGACTGCAAGAGGTCAAAAAAAAAAAAAAAAAAAAAAAGTTTTCATATTTTTTGCCAAACCAGCAGGAGGTGTCCTCCCGAACATCCAATAAAATTGGAAGGATACAAATGCAAGCAAAATGAGCAGTGAGAATGGCGGAAACCAAATTGCAGCATTCCATAGAAATCTAGATAACTAATCATAACTTCGAGTTCGAACTGAAAGCACATTGCACCATGAGATACACCAAATAAGCAAGATCAAAGCAATCGAAGTCAATTGACAATGAAAGCCCTCTTCTCACCTCCAACATCAATGTCCACAAGGTCCCTCTCCTATATGGCGCTCGGCGTCCAGACTACCATCAGACAGCACAGCACCTATCGACCTAGACTCGCAGAGCCTGGTTTGCAGGAGTAGGGGTTAGCAGGTTAGATTAGGCCAGCTTAGTACTAGGCCCTGGCGCGTTGGTTCATTAGCGGCAGGCCCCTGGTTAGAGGCCCAGTTAGGCCAGCAGCAGGGGAACGGGCCCTGGGCGCCATTTCAGCCCCTGGGCGCCATTCCCAGAGGGCACAGGCCCTGGGCGTCAGTTTAGGCGCCAGGCCAACTGGCGTTTGGGTGCCAGACACTGGCGCCATTAGGCACTGGTGAGAGCAGCCTCCCAGTCGGACCAGCGCTACATATAGCTGGTCCGCCTAGGCATTCGGTACGCATTCTTCAGGTACTCTTCAGGTAGTATGGTAGTCGACGATAGGTAGGCTGTAGTCTTCCAGCGCTGGGCGCTGCGTTAGGTTCTCGGCCACGGGCTAGAGCTGCAGTCCACTGCAGCGGAGGTTGGAGAGAGGTCAGCTATGGCGGAGGCCAGGAGACTTACCCGACGACTTACCTGTGGCGTCATCGCTCCAGCTTCGTCTTCAGTGCGTCCGTGCCTGCATCAAGGCGACACCTTTCGCAGGTCAGTACCTGGTGTACACACACACACACACACACACACACAGAGAGAGAGAGAGAGAGAGAGAGAGAGAGAGAGAGAGAGAGAGAGAGAGAGAGAGAGAGAGAGA